AAAAAGAAAACCCTCGCCGGCCTTCAATTGAGGTGCCTCCCCTCCGGCGACCTCATTCTCTTGTGATTCAGACGAGCATTAGGCTCGTCCTAGGTTCGTCGGTGTTGGCATGATGACCGTTTCGTCTCTCTCTCTCCTCGTACGTGGTCCCGCTCTTGTCGATGAGCACCATGGCGGTGGGAGCTCGAAGGCGAAGGTCGCTAGTTGGTATCTAGCGGTCGCTGCGGGCGTCTGAGGATTCTTGTGGTGGTAAACCAGCTGTGGACCTCCCTTTTCTGGCCTCCCCTGGTGTTCGGGTGGTCAGAACCTCCGACGGCGATTACGCTTCGTGTGTCAGCCCTGAAGTTTACGGGGGGGAGGGGGGAGGGAGGAGGAGGAATATGGCTGTGGTTTGGCCTGGGCGGGCTTGCGAGTTCAGGAGGTAGTTTTTTCAGATCTAGGGTTCGTCTTGGCTTGTAGGCTCTGGAGCTTCTTCTGATTGTTCCTGTCTCGGTTTTTGCTTGGTTGAACGGGTGATAGGATTTCAAGTCCAGTGTGGAGAGCTTTGTTGCTTCTATACTTTTTGTGTTTTTTTTTATTTATGTTTAGTGTGTTGTTGGTTAGTGTTTCTGTTTCGTGTTGTTTTTGGTTCTCCTGATTGGGAGCTTCTCTCCTTGTGGGAGTTTTCTTTCTCATCTATTAGAAGCTTAGGTTGTTTTAGTGTGTTGTGTTTTGGTTGTTGTTGGTAAGTAGGATATAGACTACACTTTGTGTAGCTCTCCCACCTAGATTAAGCTAGTTGGCTTCTCAGCAATTTTTTTGTTTCTAGTTTATATTTGTGTGTTTCTATCTATACAACATCTTGTTTGGAAAAAAAGAAAAAAAAATCTCTTCTACAAACACTTGAAAGATGTCTCAAGAACTCGAGAGCCACATAAAAGTTACACCGCAAAAAAAAACATAATAAGTTATCTTTCTTTCCTACAACTTTAGACGCGGACCCTACATTATAAGCGGAAGTCTAATGTGTTGTAATAAGACTTACATGTAGAAAGAGTAATTATATTGTGGGAATCCTTAGATAAAAGGATGTGTTTAATGATACAAATGTAATGTTCAAATTCAATGTAGGGAAGGCTTAACCGCGTTCGATTTTGAGATGTGAGAATGAAACTCAAAGTTTCATTACTACTTTATTTTGCCTTAATGAAGGCATTAATAGAACACCTCTTCATTGAATGGAAGATAGTTCATGAGCACTATAAATAGTGCATGCATGCTTAAGAGGAAGAACACACCAAGTGAAGGAAAAGAAAATTAACATATACATGTATTCCTTTTCATCCTCTACAAGTCTACGAAAAATTAAGGGTTCTTGGCAACTGAGATTCTGATCGAGGTGAGTGTGTTAGATAGTGTAATCTTCACAATTTGAGCCGTTTTATCCTGAGAGAAAAGGCGTAGTACTCGTTGCATAGTATCGGGGCGTCTGATTCTTCAAGGCAGACATATTTTTTGTGATTCGGCTATATATGTTCTATATGAATATAGAACTGTCAGTTAAGTTTTTTATGTTTATAATAAATTTATCTATTTTTTAATAAAAATCTGGTTTTATCTCACGTTCCTGTGGTTGATGTTTGTGGTTTCTATTTACAATTCTTAATACGTATGTATGTTGAAACTCGTTGTTAACTCGCCTTTTACAATTTATTTTTCCAACACAATGAGCCAGCACAATCTTGGAAGGGCACTCATTAGTCTTTTAGAACTTTAATTTCGTCCAGGTTCCATTCATATCGATAACTTGGGGCAGAAAGGAAGAGTTGATGCATTACAAGCACTGTAAAGTAATACATGTTAGGCAAAGGTGCCGTCAACAAGTAGAGGGATTACAAACACAGCTAAGAAAGAAAGAAGTTAAGGGAGGAGAAAGGGAAAAGGCAACATAAACATTTTAAGAACTTGGCTGCTCTTTGTACCACTAAGCTTATGATATATAAAGAAAAAGGAAAGAATTGAAACGAGCAGCTTCTAATATCCGGGCCCTTCAAAGGCCTGTGATTAAATAATTGCTCTTTTTCTCTAGGAGGTGATTTTGGTGATGTCCCTGCTTGAGCGGTTATATTTCATGTGGCTCTTGACGAGCTGACCAGCTGAGATGGCGGACATCAGGGACAGCTCGCCTGCCAGCACTGAGCCGGAAACTATGGTGGCCAGCAGCTGGGAGTTGGAGCCTGGGGACTCTTTGCTTGCACCTTTCACGCCAAGCAGGTTCAGGCAAGCCGATTGTGATGCCAATTGGGTTCCACCCCCAACGGTGCCAACCTGGAAACAAATCAAAACAAATCATATGGAACTCGTCCACCCATTTTTCTTTATTTGTATTTTCAATTTTCCTTTCACTCTAAATTGTAATACAAAAATCCTACCACAAATTAAAATGTATCCTCTAAACAGAAAGCAAGTTGTGCAGTTAGTGACACCCTTGTCATTGTAAATACTACCAAAACGTTTGCAAAACCTTTGAATTAATAAATCAATAAAGTTAAAATTTTCAAATCCCAACTTGTGGTTTAAGACCGTATTCGGCGATCTCGAACCATGCGAAGTGCGCCTTAGATTTATTGTTCTGCTTATACGTCGACTTTAGCACACAGATAAAGCACTCTTACAATATCGATGCACCAAACGACCCTTTTCGAAAATATAACAATAAAAAATAAACAAATAAATATATAAAAAGAAAATCCACTCATCTAAAAAGCAGAAGTTACTGCGAATAATCCCTTCCAACCTTTTGTAACATAAAATAACAACACATATTATCATCTAGAATACAGCTAATGATGTTAATTTTACCTCGATGGATGGCATAGTAACAGAGATATGGAGATCCTTGCCATCATTAACAGCTTCCATCATGGTTATACAGTGAGAACTCTCTATGTTCTGGGCTGGATCCTGACCTGTGGCTATAAACACAGCAGACACAATATTTGCAGCATGCGCATTGAAGCCACCAAGAGAACCCGCAACAGCCGAGCCAGTAAGATTCTTGAGCATGTTGAGCTCGACAAGGGAAGCCACATTAGTTTTCAACACTTTGGACACCACATCACCAGTGATAACTGCCTCACACACAACCGATTTTCCACGCCCTTCTATCCAATTGATAGCAGCAGGTTTCTTGTCCGAACAGTAATTTCCTAAAAACAAACAAACATAAAATTAATTCCTACTTCGTTGACAGCAAAGTGGAGGCGAGAAACGGCACTAACCAGAAATACCAATCACGTCCATATCCGGAAAATCGTTCAAGAGGAAGTCCAATACATTCTGAACACCTTTGGAGACCATGTTCATCCCCATGGCATCCCCTGTGCTGCACCTAAATCTCATGTAAAGGTTCTTCCCAGCAATTGCACATTGAATGCTTTGGAGTCTCGCGAATCTGCTTGACCTATGCAACCGTTAATAAAAGAAAGGGTAAGATATTGCC